AAAGAACTTTAAGTGGAACAAGTCTGAGTGACGCTGCAACATCGTTAAAACTTCAACAATTACACTCAAGTTACGTTTCAAAGTTACACGCCATTCCACACTTGTTCACACTTCGTACAACTTCAGTAACAAGCGTCCTTTTTCTTTGTACAGGACAGATTTAGGGATCCCTAGTACTTCGCCTGGAGGGTGAGGAACGAACAAAGACGAATACTCGCAAAGATGCAAACAAAAAACAAACGAGCTCTCAGTATTCAAATAGGATCACCAGAAATAGTACAATCGTTATATTTCTAAACAATTCAATGATCGGTTTCCTTTGTCATCCAGTACACTTAAGCAATAACCTTAATCAAATAATCGGTCCATATTATGGGAGGGCTACGCCGTATAATCAAAAGACACCGTGAGAAATATAGCCTTAATATATTCGTTTATAATAGGGCTTTCAATTAGTAAAATAATTTTTAATATAACGGACAGTGGAACCAAAAATAGTTATTTCTTTAAAAGGGGTGCCTTGGCCTTTCATAACCATTTACATATTTTTATCTATGTTTTCAAATAGCATATTATTTTTAGAACATATTATTTTTATATATTTTTTCTATATTAAACCTCATAGTAGTTTAGTTATTTGACTAAATAAATCAAAATTGTTTCATGTATTTGTTATATAGTTATGCTTGAAAATGGACAAACATAACGCAAAATTTATTTGAAATTACAATTAGTTAAGTGCTCAATCGCGCACACTTCTAAATTTACTTGGAAAAGGAAATTAAACCGATTGATCTGTTTTGATGTCGATGTTTTATTACATATATTATTTCAAATATTTCCTAGGAATTGAGAGTTTCGCAGTCAATACTAACTTCGTAGTAATATTATAATATGATTTCTACTAAATAATCATATTAAAATATTTCACATGAGTTCATACATTTGAATACCTCTTATTAATATATATATCTTTATATATAAAATTCTTCTGTGAGTGTGTATGTCACTGAACTTCTCTCAAACGACTGGACCGATTTTGATGAAATTTTTTGTGTGTGTTCAAGGGTATCTGAGAATGGTTTAGATTCAAAATTTTGTCCGCTGGACAATGTTTTTTTTAATTAATTTTTAATTTATTAGTATTTGTTGATATTGGAATGTTTTACATTGGATCCGACAGACGGCGCTACCATCGCTGTGTCAAATTTTAAATAATATTCGAATTTTAATTTTATTTTTTTATTTTAATAGACAGGACAACGTCTGTCGGGTCCGCTAGTGTATGTATATATATATAAAAGAAAGTCGTGTTAGTTACACTATTTATAACTCAAGAATGGCTTTACCGATTTCGTTGAAAATTGGTAAGGAGGTAGCTTAGAGCCAGGAGACGGACATAGGATACTATTTATTCATTTTTTTTACAATTTATACCTTGAAGACCTGCTTTTTATTTAACTTACTAATATTATAAATGCGAATGTTTAAATGAATGTGATGTGGGTAGATGGATGGGTGGGCTACACTAATGAAGTTTTTTATATATCCACGCGGACGGAGTCGCGGGCGACAGCTAGTTTCATATATTTTTAAAACTAGCGTTAGATAATAAACTTAATTAGTAGCCAATTTGTCCTTGCAGGCTATGTTCTACATCCATGCTAAATTACGGCGAGAATCATGTAGCCGTTCTGTAGATACCTTAGAACAAACATCCATCCATCCATTCGTATTTATAAAATTTATTTAGTAATATTAGAGCCAGACTCTCAACATAATAGAGTTTAAATATTCTTTTTATTAAAAAATTTTATAAAAAAAACGAATAAGTTACAAGTATTTAAAAAAAATTATCTCTCACCAAATTAACTTAATTTTATGTAAATTTATACTGATATTTTTGGGACATTAACTTCCAAATCACTTCCATTTTATGATTTGCAAAGTCTACGATGGATTGTGACCTACTTCAGCCAAACTTTTGTGTTTCAAGTCAATAAACTTTTGTTCAAAAATATATGAAATAATTTTATATTAAGAATTACGACAGAATACTTACTTGAACTTAACGGTGTTAAAAGAAACAATAAAATCCATCGGCTTCTAATCATTTTAACTTGTAACACTAAATTAATTAACACTCAAAAAAGTTTTCTCTTATTTTAAAAAATTGATTTCATTTTATTTTAAAAACACTTTTCAACAGTTCACAATCAGGTCCGTTTCCAGTCATGTTTTAAATACTTTTATTTAAAGTTACGGAATAAACTCCGCGATTTCCCGCCCTTTCGTAACCGACACGTGTAGACTCCAACACGTTCCATCTCCGACTGAAACTGTTCCTAGTCCCCTACCATACGTTCTCGCAACGAACATTACGTCGAGTTTAATAGAGTGATAGATGGCGCGACCGGAGTGATAAATCGGTGACGTTATGCGAGGGACGCTTTCAGATTTTCGTTTTCTAGACAACGGCCGATGGATAAGGATTTATTACCCCGTCTGTTGGTTTCATAGATATAAAGTTAATTGAATAAAAAAGATGATGCCTTTTCAAAAATACCTCGTTATTATTAACGTATTTTTACACAATGGAGGATAATTTTAGATGGATTTTTAGAGTTATACTTTTTTGTATTATATGTGAAAAAGAATGAAAACGACAAAATATTACGCATGCTGAATACTTTAAGTACCCGTACTAGTTGTTAGAGTCGAAAGACTTACTTTTTTTCCCTTTTATGAACTGCTAGAAATTAGGATACCGCCAACCGATTTTACTTCTTTTAACTTCATCCTTTTCAAAACGTTGTTTTACTGCAATTTCGTCAAATTTTCACTAGGTATTATTAATAATAATAACGTCTAAAATCATACTTTAATTTACCGGAATAATTTCCAAAAGTAGGGGTTTTAAGATTTCATCTGAATGGGTTCTTCGGTCCCTTGAGAGTCGACTTAGGGAGATCATCTTTATAAACCTTTATTAAGATATTTTATAACCGTTCTCATATTATGGCTTTATGTATAATGATTTATTCATGTATACTAATGCAGCCCTGCGGCTTTGTTCCCTACAAATTAAAAAAAAAGATTATTATTCTTGCACACAATATTATCACTAACTTTTGAACTATTAGATCAAAACCGTGTAGCGTAAAACAAGCAAATTAAGTTTAAATGTTGGGAAAAAGAGAAAAGTAATCCTTCGCTTTTCTTACTTATCGACAACTATCGATGGATCGAATTCTTACGTGTCTAGTGGTAAAACGATTCACATCAAATTTTAACACGAAAACTACGCAAGAAATATCGTATAATACATATTGATGCTAGTCTTAGGCAAAATTACTTGTATTAAGTACACAAAACATAAATAGGCTTCACAAGCACTTATGAACACCTGTGGGATCGTTAAACTTGCAAAATCGACATATCGTAACAAGATCCTTCCATACAAAAATACAACAATCTTATGTTCACGCGTCAAGGACTAATTTTGCTTGAATATTAATTATTAAACACGTAGGACGTAAGTTTAATCTTCAACGTCATATGTACCAATTTTAGCTGAAGACGGCCACATGGCAGCTAATTCAACTGCGCTGGCGGCAGATGGCGCTGCAAGGCGGCCATTATTGTATGTCATCTCAGTAACGATGTAGTGATGTGACTACGAAGGCGTATATTATCGATATCGTAGTACTTCTCTCAGTCTTTGACTATGGAGAAAAGGACTAAGCAAAAAGACGGGGTAAGATAAAGATGACAATCAAACAAACAACATCTGCGTATCATGCTGATACGTTAAGTAGTGCATATTCATACATTTACTAAAAATGACCTTGAAGAGATAAGAGTGGAAATACAAGTGACACGTTTTTTTTTATTTATATGATTACTTATATATAACACTGAATTTAATTAATGATAATACATAGATTTATTTCAAATATTAATTAACGCCATATCATTGATTGAAAATGTTTCAATCGAATATTAATTTATTCGCATACGAATTTAATCCTAATTGAAACCATATTATACAATTACAATGCTATTTTAAAAGTAAAACAAACTTTTAGATAATCATGTATTAAAAGTAGAAAATTAACATTAAATTCACATTTAAAAGAGAAAATATTTAATTGTTCCTTCTTAAAACCTTATCTTCAATTTAAAAAAACACATATCGATATATACACAACACTAGAAAAAGCTTGCTGTCTAAAAGCTATTAGCAGTTGGCGTTGGGCCGCACCTGCGACTGTCATTTCCTACGGAGAGATTACTTACCATCCAAGGCGTTCACTTAGCCTTAGAATGTGAAACACGGATGTCTATCACCCACTATAACATACAGGATGTGTAAATATGACGTAGAAAATAAAATTCTTCGGCATAATATGAGCTCGACAGTCTATATTGTACTACGTAAATGATAATATTGGAGAAATAATACCTTAAAATACTTTTCCCTACAATAGGTCTTCTATACATCTCTATCAGACGTAGATAAATTAAATTTTCTTACACACTAATTATGCCTTTATAGACATTTTATAGATGATTTTCCATTTTTAAATCAATTATTTTGACCCGGAAATGTAATGACAAAAAATGCCAATAAATCCGAACTGGCCATTTGTAATATTATTAAATAATCCAGTTAAAAGAAGTCAATCGAATGAAGAAACTTCCCGATTTAAATAGTGCGCAGATAAAGTAGACATTTTAATTATTCTTGAGTATTTGTTTTATAAATATTAATTGTAAATTGTTGTGTATATTTGTATAAACATTTTTTTAAAATCAATTACTAAATTTCGACGGAATTATCGATAACACAAAATTAAAAGTAGTTACCGAACTATTTTTTGATGCAGTGCATATAAATTTCTATTGCGGGTATTGTGAAATTTTATTTTGATTTGAAGTACAAAATCGATCTTGGTGCAGTATGTATCATGGCTTGCTTAGAGCGTTGTTAACTAAATTAAATTAAGTTCTGTTTAAATATAGTACATGTTAGAATAACCAAACTTTTTAAATAGTAGGCCCGGTTGTGCGCTGACGCCTGACCAAAATGGTTTCGTGAGTGTAAATATTTTCAAAACAATAATAACCTTAAATAGGTTATAGTGAAGTGAATTAATTATTAAATTAAATAATGTAAATATTTATCGATGAATTCGACACAGGGAAACTAAGGTAAGATTACATAGTAATTATTTTTCTTAAAGATTATTTGAGAGTAATATACATAAATATACGATGGAGAATATTGTATCTACGTATCACAATTTTTGTTAAAAGAAAGGATTATGTTATCATATAAATCTTACTATCATTATAAACTAGCGCCGTCACGTCAAAAACGTCAGCGCTTGATTAAGACAAACTACATATAAGCCTATGTGTTCTCCCAGACTATGTTCTACATCTAAGCCAAGTTTCAGCGAAATCCATTCAGCCATTTTTGTAGGAAAATGGGCTGTTTTAAGGGTTTTCCTGGCAATTATTCTAATTTTTCTCAAGACCAAGATAAGATAAATCCGTTGAGCCGTTCTCGAGTTTTAGCGAGAATAACGTACAACAATTGATTTTTGTAAATATAGAAAATTGATGCGAAAGTTTAGATGGATGGATGGATGTTTGAATGTATCTCCAAAATGGCACAACGGATATTGATAAAATTTGGCTCACATATAGAACATAGTCTGGAAGAACACATAGACTACTATTTTGTTTTTTTTAATTTCGCGCGGACGGAGTCGAAGCAACAGCTAGTTCTATTCATAAAAGGTTCTTAGGCTTAAGAGCCGGACTAGACGAAGCCTTTAAAGGTTTTACCTATAATTCCTTAAACCAGTCTTTGTTATACAATACTTTGAACAATGAGTTGATATGTATTGTCCTAAGGGAATCAATCTTTGAGTACGTATAAGTACAATTAAATATATTATAATATATTTGAATTAAACATTACAAACCTAATCTATACATATTAATAAGTAGGAGGCGTCCCAGGGGCCTCATTTTGTCCTCTTTCCCTTCCCACCCTATTTCTTATAAGGAAAGGATGGGATGTGGAAGTGGACTTTCCGTATGAGAGGATGCACGGTAAGGGAAAATATTTTCTTTCTGTGCATCCTCTCCTCCGTCGATTAAAGGTAGGTAACGGTCGCTTCGCTATTTCAGCGATTTCAGGTGGCCGCACGCTCGTTTGCCACTTCATGATATAAAAAAAAGGAATGTCTGTATGTAACGTCAAAAAAACCGTGTTTCATACATACATATACCGGGAAGTACTTACTTACTAAACTTAAATATGTTACCGTCTTATCATGAACATTGGCCGTTTGCAAATTTGCCACTTATTTTATTATTAAGTTAATATTACTGTACTTTTTACTTTATAAACGTATTTCTAGAACAGTTAAATGGATCTCGCTTAAATTTGGCTTAGATGTAGAACATAATCTGAACACATAATGTAATAATTGTTTTTTACGGGCGGAGTCGCGGACAAAATCTAGTAACGACGTAAACAGTTTTATGTAAGACGTAGAGTAAACTACTATGCATTGAGGAATTTTAACATCAAGACGCTGCTGTTTTGAAAGAAGTTACGCTTCTGAATATTCAATTATCGAAGTAGTTAAGAGTTTTTCCGGAGGCGGCAGCGCTCCGTTTAAAATATTAACGGGGATTTTTTTTAAAGAATAAGATTATCTTCTTTTTCTTAGAAGAGATTTTTTTCTAATTTTTTTTCAATATTGCCTTAAAAAGGCGTTGTAATGTAATACAATTTTGTGATTTATTAGAATTTTTTTTACTGTAATATACATTCAGAAAATATTATTTAGCTAATCTGAATTAAGTTTTTCAGATTTTCGTGTTACACAAACTTAATCCGACACTGTGCCGGTGTACTGGCACAACTCTAGCCTTACTAAAATGTCGATGTTTGCGTGCGATCACTAATCATTTTGACACTTGACTTTGTAATGAAAGCGCGCCTTTCGCGCCAAAGGATTCTAACTAATAATGTCTTAAAATAATATAACTTGCTATGAGTTTCTGAGAACAAAAACTCAATTTAAAACAGGTTATTCACTCTGTTGTAAGACAAAAGACATTTTATACAGAAATGTTAGCCTCAGAATCCCACGGTTAGAACTCTATGTTAGAATTGTTATAATACTTACGCATGTTAATATGCTGCTCGTTAACTTACTATAATGTACAAAGTAAGGGTCTAGACGGAACCCTTCTTATCATGTTACCGTTACATTTAATCCTCGGCATCCTTTAAGTCACTTAAGGGATTCCAACGTCTTTTAACATCAATGAAATTTTATGTTGCTAAACGTTTTACGAATATTATTTAACCTTTTTATTTTTTTTACTGTAGAATTTTTACTTAATTCGCTTTTGTTTTTTTTATATATTTTTTTATAACATAAGGTGGCAAACGAGCAAGCGGAAACATGAAATCACTGAAGTAGCGATGTGACCGTTGCCCATAGAGATACGCAATTGCATCTGCATTGCCTACCTTTAATGGATGGAGGAGAGAATGCACAGAAAGAAAATATCGTCCCTATCCATGCATCCTCTCATCCGGAAAGTTTTTGGAATTTAATTATGTTGTTTTTAGGATAAATAAAGAACGTAAGTTTCATTTTGTCAATAGGATTGGAAGTGAAGAATGACTTACATACACACATAAAATATTGAAAATACGGCCCTTCGTACACAAGGTAACGTAAATGTTAAGGCAATTCGTAAAGGTTCATGCACACGCACACGTTGCCTAAATTTTGTTTTTTTGTCAATAAAAACAGTTGCTTGCTGTGAAAAGTCGCTGTGATTTTCCAAATGGAGAAGTATATTACTTTAAAAAATTCATGCTGCTTTGTGTGCGAAGAGTTTATCCTTCGCCCGCGGCTCGAATTAAAATAAAACTTAATAAGTACCTTATGCATTCTTTCATACTATGTTCTACATCTGTGTAAAATTTCAGTAAGATCCGCTTGGCTGTTTCGGAGATACCTTGAAACAAACATCCATTGATTCATCCATCCATCTAAGCATTCGCGTAATGTTAGTAAGATTTAAACATATTTTAATTTCAGTTTTTTCAAAGAGAATATCTGGAATGACTGATATTTTTTTGTTACAGGTTTAGCAGTGTAAACGCACGGTAAGGATTTATTATCTACAATATTAAAGGCACAGAAAATGTATTAATAGAGAAATTAAATATTATTATTTTATAAATTGCTGTTGCGTTTTTAAAAACCCTTGAGACGGAATTGCGCGGTTTATTAAGGCATTAAGTTTAGAGAGTTTTATTAACTTTTTTAAAGAATTTATCTTCTAAGATGCGGCAGGGAAGACGCTACGTTTTTAATTATCCGTTTACCGAACTATTCGAGAGTTTTACGGAAATTGCAAATTAAAATATCAGACCGGAGTTTTAATTAGTTTTTTATAAGGACGATGAATCAATTTTCTTTCTAATTCAATCAGAAAAAAATATACAGTGGCCATCGAAATACGACGAGAATTACAACAAAAAAAATTATGTCCAAATATTTATTTGTTCATTTACATAATTAACGCTGATTAATAACATAAAGGTTTCGTTTTTTTATTCTTTATTTTTAATTTTTAAAATTTCTTCTGATAATGGAAGAAAGCATTTTGTGACCAGTTGCCTTTGCTATATGGCGCGTCGATCTTCGAAGCACCAATGTTAGCACTCAAAGATGATGTAGGTGTTTGGTGCAGCTTCAGTCCTGTGGATATGGAGTAATTTGTTCTTTGCGCGATCGGTATGCGAGCCACAGATGCGCCGACATTGGCGATGTCTCTGGAAATTTAAACAATGTATATTCGACGATGAAATGTGTTCAATCTTTTATTATAGGTATGGAATATTCTTTGATATTTAATCTAAACTCTACAAAGGGACTGGCTATAGACATAGTATTTTGTGCCTATTTGATTTTCGCCATTTTGGTATTGACGGTGGCTTGTAACGGTTGGGTGGATTCGAACTAATAGTATAGATTGACTTAACTGTCACATCAACTGGTGCGTTTTAATCGCAACGAAGCAAAAGCAATCGCCTATCCATTTATAGAAGTCAGTTTAATATATCTCCTTGTTGATGTATGGTTGGATAGTATGAAATAAGATATGATTAACAAGGGATTAGATTCAAATATAATGGCTGATAGAGATGAATGGAAGAGTAGTGCATACTGTGCCGACACATGGAAAATGGCATGATGATATTCGTTTTTTGTGTTTTGTATTATATTAAAATTTACTATTATATGTATAAAACTTACTTGTATTGGTAATTAGCGCCAGCTCCATGAGTAGAGTAGTTTGGGGTTGGTCCAGTCGGGAAGTTCTTCGTGGTGAAAGCATTGACGTCAACTTTGTGGTTGCCTTTGTTAAGAACGTTAAGGTTGCCAGCGGCGGTTACTTGGTTGCCGAAATCAGGCCGGTGAGTCGCTGTTAATCCGGCGCTGTGGCCAGCCCTGGAAAAGTTGTAGTTCTATTATATATTGTAGTGAATTTAAGGAAGAGTGTGACAACTTACTTGAATCTATAATGTCTGTAATAAATAGAAAAAAATGTAAAGTAAACTTTAAATTATTCATATTTAAATTCATATTGTATTTTATATATAATAATAATATTGGTATTACTATTTTATTTTAAACCTAAGAATTTTGCAGCTTTCGCTGTATGTCTAAATTAATTTGCTTAGGATCCAATATCTTAATACGTAATGACAAGATTTAAACCTAAATAAAATGTAAAATTTCACTGAACTGCATATGAAAATTTCTTAAATCTTACTTTTTACTATTATAATATTATAAATGCGAATGTTGGTATGGATGGATGGATGTTTGTTAGAAGGTGTCCTCCAAAACAGCTGCATGGATCTTGCAAAAATTTGGCATAGATGTAGAACATATAGTCTGAAAGAATACATTGACATAGGCTACTGATTTTTTTTTATTCCACGCTGACAGAATTGGGGTCGAAAGCTGGTGTTACATATATAGCAAAGTACAAATAATGTTATGCTTACTCGCTAAAAACTCCTAGGCTTCCAGAAGCGGCGTTGTAAGAAGGGCCCTTGGGTTTTGGAGAATTGCTGGCATCTTTATATCCTTCAAGTGATGCGGATCCAAACACATTACCTTTCGTAAACGATACGCCTACATCTTTACTTTTGTCAAGATTTTCGATACCATTTGCTTCAAGAGGCATTGTTTGAAACAAACAAATGTTTTGGTAATAACACTGACCTTTGTAAAGGCTTGGAAAATACTAAATGTTGAAAATTTTCTGTCTGTTTTATATAGTTAAAGTGAAGGGTACGCAAGGGAATCCCCGTAGTTAGGACTGTCAGCAAAACATTAATACATCACACTTCTTATAACGATGCTTTTTTATACAAGCCGTACATTTATAAATACAATTTTTGGCTCCTATTTTTTTATAATTTAAAATGTAAGTGTTTATGGCTGATTTTTCTCCTAAGTGACCTAAACTACTAGCAGTTTCTCATAGAAAAAGCACTGTTTTTATTCGTCGTATAATATTGTTTAAAATTCAAAAACTTAAAAAGTGCCTATATGATTATGCTATGTTCTACATCTGTGCGAAATCTCATCGACGTACTCTACCTTCTAACAAACATCGTCGATCCAAACTTTCGCATTAATAATGTTAGTAAGATTTATGTTAAAAATAATCCTAAGAAGCATCATATCATCCGAGTACATTGAAATTTTAAAATTTCTTTCATACAATTTATGAGCATAACAATAAGATTTTTTTTATGCAGTCTGTATCAATTGCTCCTGTCTGTTGCGTTTTAATCGCGACTCGTAGTGACTCAGTAGACATATTTAGTCCCGGGGACTTACTGCATCCTGTGTATATAGATATCAATATGTTTATCACGGCAATGTACCAATCTGAAAACGTTTCGTTTAAATTTTAATATACATAATAACTTACACTAACAGATTATAACATCATCTTCAGCTCACAATACGTCCACACTGAGGGGCTCGGAGCCTATACTAAGGGTGATAGTCAACCATGCTGGCCAAGTGCGGGTTTACTTCACACATATCTTTGAATTTTTTCGCAGATATGTGCAGCATTTCAATGTATTTGTTCATCGCAAGAACTTCGGATATATCTTTATATATATAATTCTTCTGTGCGTGTGTATGTCACTGAACTTCTCTCAAACGACTGGACCGATTTTGATGATTTTTTTTGTGTGTGTTCAAGGGGATCTGGGAATGGCTTAGATTCACAATTTTGTCCGCTGGACAATGTTTTTTAATTAATTTTTAATTTATTAGTAGTTGTTGATTTTGGAATGTTTTACATTGGATCCGACAGACGGCGCTACCATCGCAGTGTCAAATTTTAAATAATATTCGAATTAAAGACGTGTAGACAGCACAACGTCTGTCGGGTCCGCTAGTGTATATATATAAATAGAAAAACACATGACAAATTTATTTATAATTTTTGTAACTTTTTTTGTACACTTCTCTGTCTCAATATATTTCTATTCATATATCACGAAAGTTGTACAAGCGGTATAAGAAATCCAATCCTCTCTCACGATTTCATCTTTTATTCATTTCAATCTTTCCTTCCAGTTGATGCTATCGGCGCTAAGAAACAATAGCCTCGAATAAACTGTGAAGTACCCAGATTGTATTAAAATACTTCGTACTAACATATAGAGAATTTCATGCCTCTTTTTATACATTTTTCTTGTTGAATATTTATTCTATTCACTCTTACTTATAAAGTCAGATTGATAAACTTTGATGACTTTAAAGGTTCATGTCAACGTAGATGTACAAAGAACTAAATTAGATTACTAAATAGAACCTTTGCACACAAATCAACGTAAATCTTCGGATTTATACAATGTCATAGAGTTTCGTTACCATGCGTCGATGACATTTTGTTTTTTTTTTGTCACCAAGTGGTCATCCTCGACCAAGAATATAGTTAGTGCCTAAAAATTTCCTATACCTATCATGTTTTCTTTGAAGTGATTATAAGACGAATATTTACCTACTATTAGCGTATACATGTCGCCATTTTGTACAGCACTAACTGTCGCCCGCGACTCCGTCCGCGCGGAATTAAAAATAACTATTGGTCGCAGCGTAATGTTATATAGCCTAAAGCCTTCCTCTATAAATGGACTATCCAACAAAAAAAGAATTTTTCAAATCGGACTAGTAGTTCCTGAGATTAGCGGGTTTAAACAAACTCTTCCGCTTAATTATTAGTATATAGCATCATCAATGTATATAGCATATGCTCAGAAAATTCCGCATCCTTTACAAAATGCCAAGTCGAGCAGACCAAGTTTCAGAAACGTTAAAATAGTTGAGAAATTTACATCAAAGTAGATCGTGACCTAATAAACTCAAGTACCTCTTAGAACTATTTGAAATTCCTCACAAGTCCTTGCTTACAACATTTATGATATCATAGTGTAATAGTTATAGGCCTTTTAATCCACATTATCTAGTTGTCAAATAACTTTGAGTTAGATATACATCTAAGGTTTAACATGAACTAATAATTGGCAGCTTTAGTTACGATTTGTTTGAAACTAACTGCTGAATTAGTTCGAAGTGTACGACAAATTATAGACTTAAAGTTTCGACGACATTTCCAAACTTGTCCTTTATGTTTGGACTAAAATAATTTGATACTTTATTAAACACCATACATTATATTTCAATCTCTTTACTACTTAATCGTTGTTAATTTGGACTTTCATTTACAATATCAGCTATATGTTACAATAGAAATAGATTACAATATTTTCTAATGCGCCTAAAGAAATTTAATTGCAAATAATATTGACACAATCTTTGTATTGTTTGTTACCAGGGGCAAGATTGTGTGTGGTTTATTATTATAAATTTACATAATCCATTTCAATAGCCTTTTAATGTGTGTATATCAAATGAAAGGACTATAACATAATAAAGGTCCAGTCACGTTCTGAATCCTTTGATTTCGATTAAGATTTTAACAATAGTTCGAAAGTTTCTATTGGGCGTTACAGAACAATGGTCGTTCTTTATATTGCAAGTGCCCTTTTAAATCTAATGCTACTATTCTTTGATTGTAAGTGAACGTGAAGTGTATTTTAAACACGTTTTTAATAGTATAACGTGGTAGCTGTCGCTTGCGATACTTTTGTGCAGCATTAAAAGAGTTCATAAGTATATGTTAGAAGATATGTCCAGAACGGTTGCATTAATTTCGCTGGAATTTATTATAGCATAGATGATGAACATAGTCCGGACAGACACATAGACCACTAATTGAGTTTTTTTAAATTCCGCGTGCATGGAGTCGCGGTCGCCAGGTACTTTATAATATTAAAAAGATTTATAGTCACATTATTCTAATTTTATTGAATACTATAGATATTTACTTCCACGTTCAATATTTTCATCATCACTTAAAACATCCAGACGCTTAATAGTTATTAAATAACCATTATAACTCTGAGTAGTGGCAGAGTATATGACATAATTAAGTGATAAAATAAAATAAAGCTTAAACTCCCTTTCTAGTTAAACGTCTTGTCTAACTGAAGCAATTTTCTCTAAGATGAGGGTTAAATGAGCAGCGATTACATTTGAAATAAATGACGTCTCTTGAGATTAAGCGAATAGCTTCAGTTCTCTAACAGAAAGACCTTAACATAATGTTGATTAAGTTATATACTGACGTCTAACAAAAATCTGTATATACAAACTTTAATCTTTTTACTATTTATTCATAAGTAGATAATCATGTACTTACATACCTTTTTAGTCGACTTCAAAAAGAAGGTCATTAATTCGTTTGTATGATTTTTTTATGTTCGTTACCGCGTAACCAATATGACTTAGGGAGCATATCATTTAGGTGAGATGTACATGGCTGTCGTAACGACAGCCATGTACATCTCGCCTCGGTGTTCCCGTCGCTCGTTTACCCCCTTCTCTTATAAAAAAAAAACTCCACCCGTGGTGCTACGATTTTGAATTTTTTTTTGATTGTAGGTGGGTCCCATTTTTTATTAATTCTTAAACTGACTAGAAGTTTAGTAGATTTTGAGTTTAAGTTGAAAATGCATTACGAAAATTTAGAACTTTTTTACTTTCTTCGCTTATAGATACTCAAAAGTTAAAGCCAGTAAAAGTTAATTTCTGACCCCCGATACTTATCGATTTCATGCCTTAACAAGCGTATTTTCAAATCAGTGGTTTTCAATACTTCCCCTATCTACCCATTGGAGTAAGCGATAATAAAGTCCCATTGTTCCATACCTTTATAGTTAGGTCAATCAACTTTAAAAAGTGTTTTCAACACCTGTTCTAACCAACCCTCAGCCATTGTAGAAATCCCACCCTCTTTTTAATCTAAGATAAAGGGGTACATTGAGCGCTTAACCATCGTATCTGGAAGTATTTTCTACTTATCTACATCGATATAGAGCCTTATTGCCAACGCATTGGAATGTTTTTCTATTATTTCAGTGTCCTTGTTATATTGGCATACTCTGTTGATGACTATTTTATTAGATACACTTTTAACTTCTTTATGTAAATTAAATTAGGGTTGATTTTTGCATAATTTGTGCTGTGATTTAAAATTGTTCTTCCCGTCTCTAGATACAAGACTCGACAATGGGTGCTCTTGTTTTACCAGTCGTTGAATGCTTAGGACCTTGTCACAGTAGATAAACTGTAGCGTTTATTTGTTAAACTAGCGGTCGTTAGCGACTATATATAAAAAAACTTAATTAGTGTAGCCCACCCATCCATCCATCCAAATCACATCACGTAAGTTAAATAAAAAGGAGCATTTTCAAGCCATAAATTCGAAAAAATATAAAAAATGAATAAATAGTCCTATGTCCGTCTCCATGCTCTCAGCTACCTCCTCACCAATTTTCAGCCATATCGGTAAAGCCGTTCTTGAGTTATAAATAGTGTAACTAACACGATTTTCTTTTATATATAGATACGTATATAAGTATATAATATAATTTGTCATAAGCTTGTCAACTTATAACCAAGCATAATTGCTGGCAGCAAATGATGGACCGAACGATTCATTCATTATTTTGACTTGTTCTATCTTTGTCCATTTGATGACCTGATAGTTTGTAAACTGTCTAAGATCAAGAAAATAATCTTAAGGCTAACCACAAGAAAAGCTATGTTTACTTAGTATCATATGATGAAGTACTAAGTTC